TCCTTGGGATGAATCCCAGTTGGTCATGCTAAATGATCTTCTTAATGTGTTGTTGGATTCTGTTTGCTAGTATTTTATTGAAGATCTTCACATCTGTGTTCATTAGGGATGTTGGTCCATAGTTTTTTCTGTTGTATCTTTTTCTGGTTTCGGTATAAGGTTAATGTGGGCCTTGTAGAATGAGTTTGGAAGTATTCCCTACTCTTCTATTTTTCGGAAGAGTTTGAGAAGAATTGGTTTTAGTTCTTCATTAAATGTTTGGTAGAATTTATCAGTAAAGCCATCTGGTCCTCGGGTTTTCTTTATTGGGAGATTTTTTATTACTGCTTCAATCTCATTGCTTTTTATTGGTCTGTTTAGGTTTTCTATTTCTTGCAATTCAACCTTGGTAAGTGTATGTGTCCAGGAATTTATCCATTTCTTCTAGGTTTTCCAGTTGGCTTGCATATTGCTGTTCATAGTAATCTCTTATGATTTTTTGTATTTCTGTGGTATCAGTTGTAATGTCTCCTTTTTCATTTTTGATTTTATTTATTTGAGTCTTCTCTCTTTTTTCTTCATTAGTCTAGCTAATGGTTTATCAATGTTATCTTTTCAAAGAACCAGCTTTTTGTTTCATTGATTTTTTTGTGTGTGTATGTGTTGTTTTTTAATCTCTAATTCATTTATTTATGCTCTAATCTTTGTTATTTCTCTCTTTCTACTGATTTTGGGTGTGGTTTGTTCTTGTTTTTCTAGTTCCTTGAGGTGTAATGTTAGGTTGTTTACTTGAAGTCTTTCTTTTTTTTAAATATAGGCATTTTTTGCTTTAAATTTCCCTCTTTGACTGCTTTTGCTGTATCCTGTAGATCCTGGTATGTTGTGTTTTTATTTTCATTTGTCAGCAGGAATTTTTAAATTTCCTTTTGATTTCTTCTTCAACCCATTCATTGTTTAGGAGCATGTTATTTAATTTCCATGTATTTGTATGGTTTCCAGTGTCCCTTTTGTTGTTGATTTTTAGTTTTATTTCATTGTGGTCAGATAAGGTAGTTGATATGATTTAAGTTATTAAAAATTTGTTTAGACTTTTTTTGACATGTGGTCTATTCTAGACCATGGACCCTTCCATGTGCTGTTGAGAAGAATATGTGTTCTGTAGCTGTTGGATAAAATGTTCTCTATATGTCTGTTAAGTCCCATTGGCCTAGAGATTAATTCTAATATCTCCTTCTTAATTTTCTGTATGGATGATCTGTCCTTTGATGTAAGTGGGTTGTTAAAGTCTCCACCTATTATTGAGTTGGAGTCTGTTTCTCACATTAGATCTAATAGTAATTGCTTGATGTAACTGGGTTCTCTCCAGTTGGGTGTGTATATATTTAGAATTGTAATATCCTGTTATTGAATTGATCCCCTTATCATTATATAATAACCTTCTTTATCGTTTTTTTTTTTTTTTTTTACTTTCCTTGGCTTGAAATCTATTTTATATGAGTATAGCTATACCTGCTCTTTTTTGGTTTCCATTTGTATGAAATACTTTTTTTCATCCCTTCACTTACAGATGATATGTGTCTTTATAGGTGAAGTGAGTTTCCTGTAGAGAGCATGTTGTTGATTCTTGTTCTATAATCCATTGAGCTACTCTGTGTCTTTCAGTTGAGGCATTTAGTCCATTTAGAGTTGTTATTGATATTTAGGGACTTGTTACTGCTATTTTGTTCCTTTTTTCTGGTTGTTTTGTTGATCCTTCTTTCCTTTTTTCCAATCTTACTATCTTCCTTTCTGATTGGATAGTTTTCTCTGGCAGATTTTGATTTCTTGCTATTCTGTCAATTTTTGTTTCATGTATGAGGATACTTCAAAAAGTTTGTTGAAAAATGGAATTGAAAGATATTATGAATCTTTCCATGAATGTTTTGAAGTACCCTTGTACTTTGGGGCTCTGTTGTTAGGTGCAGGTGTGTTTATAATTGTGTTATTTTCTTGGTGGATGGAACCTTTTATTAATACATAATGTTTTCTCTTTTGTTTTGTAACCTTTTTTGGCTTAAAGTCTTATTTTTGTCTGACAATAATATAGCCATCCTGGCTGTCTTTTGGTTACCTTTTTTATGGAATTACTTGATAAGGAAGGATTTACTTCTGCCAGGTAATTTAATGTTGATTTTTCTAAAAATAGTAATAATATGGAGTTTATAACTTATGTAGAAGTAAAACATATAGCAAAAATAGCATAAAGAATGGGAGGGGGGACAGGGGCTTTACTGTTTTAAAATTCTTACAATATGTATGAATGATATAGTATAATTTTAAGGTAGAAAGTGATGTTAAAGAGGTAATCGAGGAAACAAGGAACCAAAAAACATATAAGATGGGGAAAAAAATTCTGCTTTTGTTTTACTTCTTTAAAGAGTGCCTCTTTTGGATTACTCCCTGGTTTGTGCTATTCCTATAACTAGTACACATTTTCTATAACTGTTTCTAATTATTGCACACATTATTAATAATTTGTTGAATGTTTCCTTCCCTGGTTTAGGGCAGAACCTTTATGCTATTCATTTTGTATGTTACTGTTTAGGCTTGTACCTGGCATACTTGGGCACTGGTGATGTGACTTAGACTACAGTGATTTTTCTAGAATGCGTTTCTTACTACTTGTTATTACTCTTCTATGTAAACCTTTCAGTGAGTCCCACTGCCTGTTGATTAAAACCAAATTCTTGGCCTTTGTTTACTTCTGTAATTTGTCTGATTACCTTCTTAGATACCTTGCTCTTTACTTCCTCCCATCTTCACCCTTGCCAAAAAAGACAATGAAAGGATAAACATAACACACACACACACACACACACACACACACACACAATATCTCTAGCCATACTTATTTTCTCTTCCTCTGAGGTACCGTGTTTCTCTTGCTTTAGTCATTGTGTTTGCTCTCTCTGTAATGTATCATTGTTGGCTAACTTCTGTTCATCATTTCTGTCACACATCTTAGATATCATTTATGGGAAACGTTTTCTGACCTCTCAAGGCCCTTCTGCATATTCACAGGAGAGCATATGCATCATGTGGTATTATAATTGTTTGTTTACTTTTGGACTTGTTTAATTACCCACTAAGTTCAGTAAGGCCAGTGACTGTGCAAATGTTTTACTCAAGCGTACTTGTGATATGTGAAGTTTTATATTTTGTGCACTTTGTCCTATGTGCTAAAAAAATTTTAAGTTTTAGAACATGAAGCAGTCTTTGCATTGAGACACTTTCTGAGATCTTTTAGACCACTTTAAAAAATTTGTACATTTTATTTTTTATTATGAGCTATTCAACTTCATAGGAAAAAGAGAATTAAACTTTAAAGCCTGTACTGTGTTCCTTTAAAGACTACTGTCTGTGTGGCCCAGTCAAGCCATGGAGGTTCTGTGGTTTTGTTTTTGGTGGTTGGCCAATAAGTGGATCTGAACCTTTGACCTTGGTGTTATCAACACCGTGCTTTGACTGACCGAGCTAACCGGCCAGCCCACAGGGGTTCTGAACTGTTGCTGTTGTTAACTGAAAGTCTGTAAGGATGAAGGAAACCTATGATTTGAAAAATAAAAAAAAGAAAATGTGGGTGGAAAAGTATGCATTTAAATTTCTCGTAGGGTTTAGCTTCTTTATAAGCTGTTTTTAATAGATCAATTTCCTCTTTCAATTATGTAGTTACAAAATTTTAGAATGTACCCTCCCAGTCTTTACCATTCAGTATCCTCACTGAATACATCTACCAATAATATTTCCATAGTTCTTTCTAATCTCACTTAAGTTTAGATACTTTTTGTTTAGCATTATTTTCTAATTTCCATGTGTCTGCATAATTATATTAATTTTTAAAATAAATTTATTGCATTGTTAATTTCTTGACATCCCTTTTCTTTTTCCACTTTTCCCAGTTTTTGCTGTTGTAATACTCTTTAATCATCATTGTACAGAAAATTGTTGTTCTTACTTTTATTCTTGATATTTTTTTAGCTCTACCATTGTCATTTTAGCTACCTTCTCATTTTACCCTATTTCTACAAAAGTTGTTTTTATTCTAGGGTTTGCCATTGGATTTTCTTTTTTATTAAAATTCAAATACCAGAAAATGCACCCCTTTTTTATGTGTACAATTCAGTAATTTTTGGTATATTTACCAAGTTGTGCAACTGTCACCACTATCTAATCCAGAAACATTTTCATCATCCCCAAAAGAAATTCTCTGTTTGCTTTTACCCACAGCCCCTGGCAACCTCTAATCTACTTTCTGTTTCTGTGGATTTACCTATTATGGAGTAATAAAATTCATGGAATCATACAATATGTGGCCTTTTGTGTTTGGCTTTTTGCACTTGAAAACATAATGTTTTCAAGGTTCCTGCATGTCATAGCATGTGTCAGTACTTTTTGTCTGCATAATATTTAATTGTGTGGCTATTCCATATTTTGTTTATCCATTCATCAATTACTGGATATTTGGGTTGATTCCATTTCTTGGCTATTATGAATAATGCTGCTATGAACATTTGTATGGAAGTTTTTGTGTGAACATATATTTTCAGTTGTTTTGGGTATATACCTAGGAGAGGCATTGCTGGGTCATATGCTAATTCTATCTGTAATTTTTTAAGGCACTGCCAAACTGGTCATTAGGTTTAAAACATCAGTAATTTTCTTGACGATATTTATATACTTAGGTAGTTTAGTAGGAGAATGAACATTTTAACTCCAGGGTTTAAAACTTCCTTCCTCTAAGAATTGAGTTATTGTAATGTTCTTATAAAGAAAGCTTCATAAACTTCTTTGTTTTTTAGGAAAAATGTAGAAAGTTTTTCTGAACTAAATGTATTCATGCCTAAGGATGAGGTTTGTTATCAGTGCTTTACAGAAATTCTTAAGCTTTCTCTGTATCAAATTGAAAAGTATGTAAAATATTGGTCCAGTGGATAATAGTTATAGATTAATATATTCTAATTGTCAAATTATTTATTTTACAGGGTTTTGACTCTGGGAGGAGGGCTGCCTTATTTGGAGCACCTTAATCTCTCTGGTTGTCTTACTGTAACTGGTGCAGGCCTGCAGGATTTGGTTTCAGCATGTCCTTCTCTAAATGATGAATACTTTTACTACTGTGACAACATTAACGGTAATGCCTTTTAACAATGAGATAATTTTGAAGGAATTGATATTTTAAATTTTAGCAGTTCTAACAATTTTTATAGTTTCTATTTAATTTTCTAGACTTCAAATTACCAAATTTCTTACTTTCAGATTTAGTCCTTTAAAATTGATAAAATTTAAAAATCACATGTTTTTATTAACATCTCAGAAGGCAAGTTTTTCTTATGGATATGTATTTCAGATATGTATTCTGCCATATTTTTGAGGCATGTAATAGTTTAATCATTCAAAAGTGGCAACTTATTTTATAGAAATACTAAAATTCTTATAAAATTATGGGGTATTCCTCTAAAATGTTGTAGCACTCATTAACTATTTAGAGATGTTGATTTTCTAGCTATACTGATTTCTTAGGGCTGATAGACTCATTTGTCTTGTAGGATGACTTTGTCAAATGCAGTAGGAAAAGGAGGACTTTGGTAATGTGAACTCCTCAGAGATTCTGGGTCTGGTTCCAAATAAATCTCACTGAAGACTGAAGAGGGGATGGATAGTGTGTGCTATTGAGAAGGGGCTGAGATGCTCTAGATATGACTGAAATTCCTAAGTACTTTAGAAATTTCTAAATGTACTTTTAAAAATCATCAGATAAATATTTCTTTCTTTCTTTTTTTTTTTTTTGAATTTTGGTTTTGTTTTTTAAGCCTATTCTGTCCTACAATGAGCCTGTTGAATGATAGTCACTGGTAGAGACTAAATTTCCCAGAAACATAAAAAGCTGCTCCTTCTGTACTTGTAAATGGGAAAAAATTTACATGGCTAAAATTCTACTATGTACCTGTCTTTTTATAACATATATTGTTTTCTTTGAGAGCCAAATTTGTCTTAATATTACAGGAAGATCAACTGAGTTTTTTCAGGCAGGACGGTTGACAGGAGCCAGGAAAACTAGAGGGAGTTTTGACATACAAAGAGGTGGAAAAGTTAGCAAATCTATTATTTCTGGGAGATTGGATTTTCCTTAAAATATATACAAGGAGACAGGAGATCACAGATCTCTTATTTCTGGAGTGGCATTATTATGTAGGAGGTGAACTCCCATGTTCTTGATATGTCACCACTAATTTGGGGCATTTCTTTGTTCTCTGTTGCCTCCATTGTATAATCAAGGAATGGGGAAAATCATTGTCATTTTAGTTGCAGCCTGCTAAGCCTATAAAAGCAAACTGTGATTGCTGTAATGAAGCAGTTACTTTCATGGATGCAGTGGGTTTGACAAGAAAGATTTTTTGTTTTAGCATAACGTTATGTCTTTGTGGGTTTGGTGTTGTACTTCCTAAGGTTTATAGGACATATTGAGAGTAATCAATAAGCAATTATTTTTATAAGAAAAAAGTTTATTTGTATGTTGCACTCAAATTGTCTACATTGATTAGAGCATAGATTTTGCTTGGGAATAAATCTTACAACCTAATTTATTATATTTATTTTTGGGTATATAGATATTATTGGGTGGGTGGGTTATATTTCATTTTTATGGTCTGTGTACTTGAGTTTTTTTTTTTTAACTTCTTGAAATAATTTAGATGATGCGATAACATTTAAATTGTTAAAAATCTTTTGCACTTTGTCAGTATTCTTTTTATCTTAACTGGTTTCAAATATCCAGATTAAAGTGTTCCTAAGAAGCTGTTATATTCCTTTTGTTGAATGTAAGATTTTTTTCCATAAATGATTGGTAATTTTCAACAAATGAATTATAATGAAGATATCTGAATGAAAGATTTTAAAAGAAATTGCAGTGCTTGTATAATACACTATTAAGTCTCCTTTTATAGCTTGTTGAAGTGCATGATTTGGGGGAAATGGAAACTAGTTATCCTTAAAGCAGTGCTCTGATGTAATCTTTTCCTCAGAAAGACATATAGACAACCTAGCAAGTGTTAGAATAAAGTTGAATTGTATCTAGTTTGCAAGATGACACTATTGATCCTGTATCTTTGAAAACAACTCAGCTTGTGTAGTAAATATTTAGTGAATGCTTACGGGCCCCTTTTTTATTATTATTTTTATTATTTCTGAATGTAGTCAGTATGTTTTTTTTTTTTTTTTCCTTTTTGTCTTTTTTCGTGTCCGGCAACGGATCGCAACCCTCAGTGTTGCGCCCGTACCGGGACCGGCAACGGGATCGCAACCCTCGGTGTTGCTCCCACACCTCGCTCAGCCAGTGAGTGGGAACTGGTCTGTACGTGGGATCCGAACCCTCGGCGGGAGCGCCACTGCTACAGTGCGCCACTGGGCCGGCCCAGTATGTTTTAATACATGGTTTTAGAGTAATGAGGAAGCATATTTAGGTGACATTATACTTTAAATATTTGAGAATAACATTTAACTGAAAATGTATTTTGCTAAAAGAAAGTCTACATAGTTAACTGGAAGGTTACTAACTATAAGAAGTAAATTCAAGTAATTAGTCATTATCTAAATAATAAGTGATAAGTAAGACAGAATTGTCTGTTTCCCAAGCACTAGCAGAGATTTTGGAGAAGATAAGTTAGTAATCAGGTATTCAAACAATAACTACCTGAGCAAGATACTGTACTAAGCATTGATGTAACATGCAAATTTTGATTCTTCTTAATGATTCTTCATGACTTTCAAATTAGTTATTTTATAAGAACTTGAATATAGAAGAAGTCTTCTTAGCCATAACGTGTAAAAAATTCTTCATCATTTAAGAAGTGTTAAATGGAGTGGCATAGTTTTAGACCTCTGAAGAACATTTGAACAATGATAGCAAATAAACTTTTTTGTATTGATTTGTATTTCAATTTATGTGTAATTTATGAATTAAGATAGATTAGTTCATAGTTCTGGAGGTGATACAGTCTCAGATGATTTGCTGTTTTTTGTTTTTAATTTAAGTTAAAGAGGAATTAAAGGTAAGTGAAGGTAAGTGCAGATATTCAGCATAAGTAATATGCTTAAAACCCAGGAAAAACGAGTCATTTAATAATAAAAATTTGAGGAAGTAATAGCTAACTTTATAGTTTTTTATCTAAATTTAAAAATTCTTTCTTAACAAAATGTATCCTCTACTACACATTTAAAGATTATTTAATGATTATGCAATTTTATTTTTCTGTGTTATTTATTATTCTTTCATGTAATTTAGCCCTAATATACTATAAACATTTGGGTTCTCTGTTCTACATTGAGATAGAAATTTGCTGGTAATAAGTCAGATATTTAAGATGGATCAGAAGTCCAGCATGAGGAAGTAGCTGCTTGAGCTAAAGCTGACCAAAGTCTGATGTTTATCTTTTGAATTATCAGGGTCTATTGGAGCACAGTTGTTTGCTTGAGATACTTGGCAACCTAATGTATCTTAGATTTCTTTCTGATGCTCTTTTTTTGTTTTAATTTAGTCTTTCAAAACAGTCCTTCTGTGATGCTTAAGGGTCTTACTGTTAACATTGTTTACTATTTCCATGCTTTTGAAATTATTTTTGCATGTTTTCTATAATATGAAACTAAGTTTGAAACAGTGGTTGTCTTCACATTTGCTTTGTCCTGGACTTCAGTAGAATAAAATCCATTGATGGATGCTATCACTTTCATGGAGGATTAGGATCAGACACCAATAACTGCTCTGTTATTGACCTTATGATGAGATTGTAGTTTTGAGGCACTTAATATTACAGTTATTGGTTAATTACCTGTAGGGTTCTGTAGATAGATCCTACTTTCAAATTTGAAAACACCAATATATCAACTCCCTCTCTTTATACACTTGGAATCCCACTGAAACTCAGATATTTTTTGGTACATACTTGTATTTGAAGGAGAAGGGCCCATTTTATATCAATATGAGTCAGAACTATGTTTTGTAATGAATACGGAGATGCTAACAGCAAGATTGTGTTAGCTTTCTGCCTAATATAGGTTACAGATTTTTATTCATTCATTTTTCTTGCCGTTTTATCCCTACCATCATCCCTCAGACTTTGAGAGCACAGTGTCCTAGGTGGCCAGAGTGGAGACTGAGGATGCTGGACCCCTGAGTCTTACCCGTATGTCTTTTGGGAACGATGGTGGAAAGCTGGTGTCTGGATAGTGTGAATCTTTAGGAGAATAACTTCCTTGATTCAATTGCTCCTTTGAGGCTCCCTCTTACATTTTTCTTGAAAACCAATTGAATACTTCCACCACTTAGGATTTTTCCTAAGCCACTGTTGAATTCAGTATAACATGTTTTGCCTTTCTATTCTCTTAAAAAATAATACTATAGACATTTTGAAATATTTTAGGGCGTATAGTTGGAAAATTATATGAAAGTCTCCATTATATCCAAAATTATATGAAAGTCTCCTCTTATTTTTCCCTTTTAAAAAATTTATAATATAATTACATACTGATAAAATGATGATCAGATACATTTTGGCAAAACCCAGCAATTTAGGTGTCTTATGAAAGACTAAGTGTCAGGACAGGGGGATGGAAGTGAGGCAGAGCTTGGGTCTTAGGGAAGGGTACTAGGGGATTGGTAGATAAAGCAGTAACCAGTGTAAAGGGTGAGGGAAGACAAGCTAAGAAGGGGAAAGGTGGGGGATTGGACAGTGCACAGTAGGTTAAACTGGAAATATATTCAAAGGGAAAACCTAGTCAAAAATTGAGAATGGCAGAAGAGTTTCAAACTGTAGGATTCCTTATCAGGGTATTACTGGTAAATACTGAATAATATGTGCTAAAAATTTTTATCTTGACTTTGTGGTTAAGATGGCTAACACTGTGTATTATTTTAAGGGAAAATAATCTTAACAAAAATGCTACTTTGTGAATTTTAAATATTTGACACATGTAACTTGTCACTTAAAAATGGAATGGATTTTTATTTTGATTAAATAAAAAATGGGCTTGTAATTTAATTTTATATTTATAATAATTTAAACTTTTTATTATGGAAAATTTTAAGCATAAAAGTAGAGTAATAATGAATCCTCATATACCATTGGCTTCAGCAGTTATAAATCTGTGGCCATCTTTCATCTGTATTATTGCCCATTCCCATATCTGCTCCTCGATTAATTTGTAGCTAATCTCAGATATAATATGAATTTTAAAATTAAGTATAACTATGTGAAAATAAATGAAATCATAAGCTGTTGCAGTTTCATATATGTGTAAAGTTAATTGGTTTATTTTCTTACTTAAAGATATGTTGTCATTTCCATCATGAAATATATGAACATTTTACCCCAATGACTGTATATCCTAAGAAATTTGCGATTTTATTTTGTTCATGCTGCCTTTGGAATACAAGGAAAAGTTAAATTTCTGGAAATAAATGTATTCTATGTGTTCAGTTGCAAGTAATTATCTTATGGTGGTATTAGCATAGTTGCCTTCTTTTGCAATGGAGTGCCACTTTAAAAAAACAAAACAAAGCAAATTTAAAATGTTTCTGAATTAAATTAGACATCACTCCAGAGTACTATGATTTTTCATTTATAATCCATTTGATACATTCTGCAGTAAAATTATATTTCGTATACTTTAAAAATTTTGTATAACCACAATTATAAGTATTTTAGTTGTTCTAGTTGATATGTAAAGAACCAATTAACAGCACTTTATTTGTTCATGGTGCAGATATACTGAAAAACTTCAATATAGTTGAAACAGCCTTTTCCACGTTTTCCTGGCTTTATGAAAACTTTCATTCAAAGTACTTAACTTTTGAACGTGTGCTATAAAACCTTTTCTTCAGTATTTTCTAATTCTCAGCTGTGTTTTCTAATGGATCTTTTATCTATTTTGTGGGTATCATAGTATGATAGGGATATTAATGTCAGTTATTCCATGATGTTTTATTACTCTTCTTTGTAAGTGAATCACAGTGTTTATTGTCTTAAATAATGTTTATTAATCACTCATCATATATTTAATTTTGGAAAATAATTTCATCTAACCCTACCATATGATTTTTTTGGTGGTTTTTTTGGTTTTTGGTTTTTTTGGCTACGAATGTAAAAATATGGCAAATATGTTAAGCCCATGTCTGTATATGTTTATTTTGTTTTAAATTTTGTCTATAATACTTACGGTGATTGTTCAATACTAGATTCTCCATCTGATCTATTACAAATAGGGCTGTTTCTGCCTTAATTATATGTTCAGATTATAAGAATCTGTTGTTAAATTAGCCTGGTAGTCTTCCTTCTATGGATTGTCTCCTTCCTTCTTGGGTTTTTATTTTGTAAGATTGTTGTGAGAAATTATTTCTTTTCCTTCTTCCACTTACATTTTGTTCCAGGAAGGTGAATTAGTTAAAGTCAAGCTGTTATTGGCAATTATCGTGTCTGAATAATTTTTTATACAGTCATTGTGAGACTTTACTTTTATGGTATAAATGTGTATTGCTAGTAAAACAAATAAATTTTTTAGCTCCTTCATAAACAAAATTATTTTTATGTGATTTCTAAGAAATTCCTCCTTTCACATTTTTCTGTTTTCATACAGGTCCTCATGCTGATACCGCCAGTGGATGCCAGAATTTGCAGTGTGGTTTTCGAGCCTGCTGCCGCTCTGGCGAATGACCCTTGACTTCTGACCTTTGTCTACTTCATTTAGCTGAGCAGGCTTCCTTTCATGCACTTTACTTGTAGCACATTTCTTGTGTTAACCATCCCTTTTTGAGAGTGACTTGATTTGGCCCCACTTCTTACTATCTCAGAAATCTTAATTTACCAGTGAATTGTACAGTGTTGTTTCTCTTGCATATCCTATTTTTACTTTAGAAAGGGATTAGGTCTTTTCATAAGGGTGAGAACAGGCTTCTCAGATTTCATTTAAATGAAATGCTTTGAAAAGAATGTCACTAATGCCATGCCATTTAAAGTATTTTTTAGATTATTTTGAGTTTTAAAGTCAATGGGGTTTATAGGTTCTCTTTATGTATAAACACAGCACCAAGCTTTGTAGGTCTTTTCAGACATACATTTCTGAAGTTTTATTTTCAAAGACTGTACATTTTGGAAACTGATTTCTTTCCATATTTCCTTTATTTGAAAACAATTCTCAGAGGGCCAATTTAAATATACCCACATATATGATTCTTAAAGATTATAGAACAAATTGGCTTCTTGGTGTTAGCTCATGAGCTAGCAAAAGCACCAGTTTATTTGTATTTGCTTTCTTCAGAGACCCCTGGTTCCCACTGCTGCCCCTAAATTGTCAAATCTGGGAGGGATTTTGAAAAATTCCATAATCATTTGAAGAAATGTATAAATAAAATCTACTTTGAGGACTTTACCAAGTAATAACTTTTGTGTGTGGTTTTATTATAAATCTCAGTCCAAGTTTACTTCAGTGTAAAATAGGACTAAATATTTTATCTTTTGAGCTCCCATGAAATCATGACCTTAACAAACAGTTTTAGACAGATAATGAATTTTGTTGAGCTGAACTTTCTTTTTGAAATTAGTTGTTCAGTGGTCAATATTTGAATTTGTTTAAGTTTATCTTCATTGCTTTGTGAAAAGATCATGGAAGTGGAGACCAACCATTTGGAAAGGCACTTACTGGGACAAATTTATGACATGCTTTGTATAATTTTATGTCACAAAGAAGAAAATAGTGACATGCCATCTCTTTTTATAAATACAGGCAAAGTTGTAGAAGAGGAAGTAATCTTGCAGTCTGGTTCTTTTTGTCCTCAGATATTTTTGTTTTATTTGGGGAGGAGAGATATAAACTACAGGTAGGTTTCAGTTTAGGCTAAGAGAAACTGTTTTAGACAGTGTTGTCTAAAGATGAAGGAAGAACCATTTGATGGGAATATAAATAGAATTCACTAATGCTTTTTCATTCAGCTAACATTTGAATTGAATACTTCAAGGGAAGATCAACTCTAAAGGGAGGGTATCTAATGATGTTCTTTTTGGAGTTTCATCTTGCTCTCATTTTTATTCCATTGCTGTTAACATTTGAAAAATAAACTGTGGAATCCTACACAAGTTTATTACATGTAGGGTAGGGCAGCTATATAAGCAGACCATCTTACCTTTTGAGTTTGTTATTTCTTAAGCTTAAGTAGTCATCTTTTGATACCACTATACGTAGCCTTCTCCAGTAAATGTTTGGCATAAGCAGAAAGGAAAAAACAATTTCTTAATTTGCTTAGAGAACTCGAAAGGAAATCTGAGCTTAGTGAGAAGTAGTTCCAGGATTAGAAGTTTTATTTGTAAAGTTGACTGTTTTGTAGTTACTGTATTTTTATTTCACTAAGTGTTTAATAAAGTTTATTTGAAAAGTTGACATCAAAGACTGTTTTGAGACAAACCACTAGAAGTCTTCTGGGGTGAGCCCTATCGTAGCCCATACTTCATCTTATCTATATTTACATAAGTTGAATGGTAAAATTGCTTATCCACTGAATTATCAAGGGAGGACTAAAGTTTATCCCTCATCTAATCAGAACACAAGGTATTTTGGGGGATATTTTTTGATAGTCCTTACGGACAAATATCATTAATATTTCGGGACTTGGCTTATATGTTGTCTTTTATAAATTAATTAATTTTGACCAGCTGATTTACCCAGGGATTCCAGGTATTTCAGGTGCCTCTTTTACATTTTTTATGGTGCTCGATGGTAGGAAAACATTAAATAGAACTTGGCAATCTTGAACCAAACTTGCTTCAGTATGTTAGCACAGTATGTTGAAACTCACTGTTTTTCTACCATTTTCCCCCACCCCACCCATCCCCTGCAATTCCATGGGGGTATAGACAGCATAATCTGTGTTTAATTTTTATACATTATTGTTTTTCATTATTAACTTCAAGGGATAGTTAATGTCTAACAAAACACTCTATACTTAATTTAAATATATCTTGGATTTTGTGATTGATTTCTTTCTGAGAATAAAATGCAGCAGTTACACAAAGTGCTTAGTGGTGCCTGACACATTAGGTGTGCAGTGCCTGGCAGCATTCTAAGTATTTACATACACTGACTTGCTTAATCTTTGCAACAATACTGTTGAACAGGTAATGTGATCATCCCCATCTTACATATGGCAAAAATAAATAAGAGGTTAAATAACTTGTCCATGGATTATCCAGCTAGTAGTGGCAGAACTAGGACTTCTCAGAGCTCGTGCTCTTAACCACTAAGCTGTTCTGTCTATATTGGCAGCTGTTACAGGTCAGTCATGGAACTCTCCCTTGAATAGTTTATAGTAGAGGTATTAGAGGCGTTTAAACACATAATTGCAGTATAAGTTGATAGAGGAATGCATAAGAGAATAATGCAAAGGTGAAAGTTGTTCCTTAACTGGGTCCCCTGTCTTTGATTTTTTTTCTTTTTTTAAGTGAGAGTTACTTCAGTTTTTCTCAGTTGGGGGCCATTTGTCTCATAGAGGACATTAGGCAACATCAGGAGACATTTCTGGTTGTCACATCTTGGAAGGAAGGGATGCAACTGGCATCTAGTGGGTAGAGGCCAGGGATGCTACTAACCATCCTACAATGTGCAGGATAATCTTCCACAACAAATAATTACTTGGTCCAAAATGTCAATAGTGATACCGTTGAGAAATTCTGCTTTACGTATTTCTATTTTGTGTACATCTTTCTAGATCACATACATTAAATTCTTATTACTTAGTGTTTGTCTTAATGAATGTGTTTGTCTTAGTTTGGGCTGCTATAACAATATCATAGACTGGGCGGCTTAAAACATTTATTTCTCAAAGTTCTGGAGGCTAGGAAGTTCAAGATCAATTCCAAGATATGCTGGAAGCCAGCAGATCCAGTGTCTGGTGAGGGCACTCTTTCTGACTTGCATATGGCCATCTCCTCATTGTATCTTCACATGGGAAAGACAGAGAGAGGGAGGAGAGAGAGAGAGCGAATTCTCTCTGATTTCTTCTTTAACGGGCACCAATCCCATTGTGAGGGCTTCATCCTCATTACCCAAAGGTCACATCTCCAAATACCATCACATTAAGGATTAGAGTTTCAACATTTGAGTTGGAGAGTGGAGTACAAACATTTAGTCCATAGCAGTGTCTTAGGTTGTTTTTTAAAACGATTTCCCTTTCGATGAATATTTAAATTATCCCTTTTTTCCTTCCAAAATAGTATATTGTTTCAATGGGTGTGTATGTCTGTATGTGCCCATGTGTGTATGTCTGTATGTGCCCAGTATTTCTGTAAGATAATGTCTTAAGAGGTATTCAGCATTAAAAATAAGAATTTGAAACTACAAATTTGTTCCTCCTCCAGAAAACTTGTAAAGTGTTTTACGGGGTCTTAAAAGTATGATTGATATTCTGCTGGACAGGCAAAGAAGGGCATCCCAAGCAGAAGGTAAGTAAGTACAAAGGCATAGAGGTAGGAAGCTCATAGTGTACACTATTGTGGGCGTTCTCAATTGAATTTAGGGTCAAAGTGGCAGAGACAAGGCAGACTACTAAATAAAAACATTTATTTTTCCACAGTTTGCAAATAGATAATGGTTATTGTTTTCATTATTTGCAAGTAATATTTTCTTCTGATGTGATCAATGCAGTTTAAAAATATTCTCATATGCTAAATGTAGTTTTTACATGATATAAAAAGTACAATGAAAAAATTACCTGTTGCGTATAAGGGAGGCAACATAGATCCAAACAGACAAAACGTTTTTGGGATATGGGTGGATGTATACAGCTAAAGCAAATTCAACATTAGGAACATCAATATTATGTACTCCAGTGCTATACACAGCTTCAATTAAAGGCTTCACTTCAGAGTAGGGCATGTGAAGGGGAAATCCAGAGAACTAAAGGGGGAAAAAAACATTTTGTAGTCATTAGTGAAGTTTGAAGATTTCAATATATATTTTTCCCTATGTAAATGTATGCAATTCATAATATAGTAAGTCTTATGATCTCAGTCATCTAGTTCTATTTTTCTATTCAGCTATATATTAGCAGTAAAGGAAATGGAGAGGGGCTTATTTTTCTTAAAGGCTAATGTATTGGTGTATGACACCTGTTATTCAGTCACCCAGTGACCCTCCACTGTTACCTTCCCTCTTCCTGGTAGCCCCTAGTATGCATAGTAACCCATGTAATTCCAGAGACCTGGGTTAAGCTAATCAGTGCATTCCATCCCCCTGGCCACCATGATTGATCTACAGGAATAGGCATGTGATCAAAGGTAGTCTCAAAGGGAGTCTCAGGAAACTGGCTAGGATATAACGTCACACAGAAACTTTCTGCTGCTTTCAACAATATGTGCAGATGTGAGTCCTGGAACTGTTCCAGTATTTGCTGCCATGAGAAAAGCTGACCTGAGGCTGATGACATCACATGGAGGAAAAGGGCAGAGTGGGAAGACTTTGCAGAAACACCGTATAGCCCTTGATAGCTGCTCAACTCTAAGTTTTACTTAAGTAAACCAATAAATTCTGTATTGCTCAAGCCTGTTTGAGTTAAGTGTTTTGTTACTTGAACTGAAAACATCATGGCTGAGAACCTGGATTATAAAATAAAAGATAAGTTTTACTCAATGAATAATCCAATTTGACTTTCATAGTGTTTACCCAATAAGGCTTGCTGTCTTAGTTATGAGACTGTTTTCTAGGTTTTATTATCGAGCTGTAGATGTGAACACATAGCACTACCAATAGGAAGTAGGAAGGATATATTAATGAGAATTTTTCTTAGCAGTAGAAGCAATCAATATTAGACTATGTCCTTTTAAAAACCTGACCTTGAGTGTTTGTTTTTACCTTGTTGCACAGTTGGGTCTAACATGATTTAGCCAGATGTTTTCATTTTATGTTATACTTGCAACATACTTCATAAAAAATTACTTTTCATAGGATTCTTTTACAGAAAATGGTATTTTTATTTTATAGAGGCAGTTTGCTAGTAAGTGATAGGTTGATTATTGAGATTTAAATTTTTTAATCTCATTCTTTAGTCCGTACTGCTTTATGTATGCACTCCAAGAAGCAATGTAGTAATTTTGATTCCAAAACTATTGTGTAATTTTCAATTTGAAATGAGGGTCAGTTTAGGGGCCTTTTGTACTTACCCTGTAGTCTCCTAGCTGTCTCAGCAGTTCTGCTCTGTGGTCGTCTTCTACATCTTCTCCTTGACTTCTTTCTAGCAGAGGCAAGAAGTGACGCAGAGTGGAGGTACAGTACCTATTCCACCGAGTCAGGTGGCGGGGCCTCCAGTCCATGATTTTTTCTTTTAGTATTTTTTCAATCCTGTTTATAAAAAATAAACTCCAGTTTTTGGTGACTTGGCTTTTCCCTTGTAAAAATTAATATAGTTTGTGTTCAGTGAGGATTCAGGTGGTTACATAACTACATTTTTGTGTGGAATTGTCATTCACTAGGCATAGTTAGTAACTAATGATGGGCTAATCACTGGGGATTCAAAAATAACATGTGATCCTTATCCTTAAGGATTGTGTATGGGTTGGGATGGGAAATAGACCTAAAAATAGAAAGTACATGTATCTTAAAGGGCATAACAGGGGCTTGAAATGTAGCACAGAAGAGGGAGCACTGAATGGGGGATAGCTAAATTCAATACATTTAGCAAAAGATTTTTTATCATGAAATGTTTTGTCACTTTATTCCTTGGTAATGTAAATTCAGATAAATTAGACTTAGGCATAAGGGGTGGGGCTTATGTGGAAAGCCTCAAATATCTATAGGGCTGCTAATGCTTCATACTGATTTTTTTCCCCAGTGACTTCCATTCATGATGATAGAATTTTTTCTAAATTGCCTTAAAACTGCCTTTAAAATTCCACCCATCTTTGCAACTTAATTTTTCATAGGTACAAGTATCGGGTTCATAGGATGTGAAGCTTAAACATAGAATGAAGGAAAATAGCTACCATTTATTGAGCCCTTATTTACCAGGTATTGTGCTAAGTGCTCTTTTCTCCGTTTTTGCTTAATCCCAACAATAAGCCTATGAGTAGGGGACATTGTCCTGATTTTACAGATGAGGGCACAGTTTGGGGTAGGATAAGTGACTAGACTAAGGCAAGGGAGCTGGGATTCAAATTGAAACCTTTCTGATTCTAAAGCGTCCAACCAAATGCACAGATTTAGAGACCTGGCCAGATTTCCGTTGTTCAATAGCCATAGGATTCACATCATTTTTGGCACGTAACACATAATTTTGTTTTGGGTTTCAAGATGGTCTAAGCAAGAAAGTATGAATTGCCAAGTACTTCAACAATGCAAAAATAAGTGACTTGAGTCTAATCAATAGTATGCTGGAGCTATTAGGAGAAAAAAAAAAAAGGTTGTTTGGAGATTAGTTGCTAGATGGGATCCCAAATAAGACTTTATGGAGAAGTTGAGAGAAAATTTGTGTATTCTAGTAATAATGCCTTAAAAGGGGTCACATTTAATCTTGTATAATTTGACATTCTGCTTTTCACTGGCTTGATACATTAGAAATGGCACATGGGCTTTGAAATCAGAAAGATCTGGCTGGGCTCAGAAGCCCCCTTTAACATAACAGTATGTGGATCTCTCTGATCCTCTGTTCCCACATTTGTGAAACTGGGATAGTAAATTCTATTTACAGCGTTATTAGAATTATAGGGATTCATATAGACTCTTTCTGGCTTCCATGTGTTAGGTTCATAAACTAATTGAGGTTCTGTAAGACACTAGTTGGACAAAAGAGGCATATTTAAGGTGAGGATTATGATGTGTCTCAACAAGACCCATAATGACATGATGTTAAGCTCTAATGTGAAGGAAATTCTGGAGAAGTGTGTAATACTGGTGTTCACTTTTGTTTGTCTCACACCAGGCTGATGCTAATGCCTCCCTTTGAGCCAGGGGATTTAGAGATTGCATCTGTACTTGGTATCTATAAACATGAATTAAAGTTTAATTGCCCAAATTATTTCACATTGATCCAGGATGAGTGTTGTTTAAAGTTTGGAATTACTACCACCTAGTGACAGATTACATGTGGATTTATGGATATCATGTTACCTGTCTTGTAGCTCAGCTGCAGCTGCTTTGTCTGTGTGCTGGTAAATTAGCTCTTCAGGCTATAAAAGAGAAAATAATTCAGAAACTCTAAATTTCATTTGAATATCTGTACATCCTTTTAAAATATTTTTTTAAAAAATAAAACCTCAGACATTCAATAAAATATGGAGGATAATATAACGGATGCCAGTGCACCCCTGATCCACCATAAGTAAAACAGAAATAAATTATAGGGCTGTTATTAAATAAGGCTCAATTTCATTTCCTTTCTAACACATGAAACGTAACACATGGAAGCCAGTCTACAGAAGTAATCATGACCTGAATTTTTTTTTTTAAGCACTCCTTCACTCCACAAATGTTGAGTTCCTACTGTGTGCCAGGCACTTTCACAGGTGATAGGGTTAGGGATATGGCCATGAATAAAAATCCCTGTCTTCATGGTGCTTACGTTCTAATAAGTGGAGGTAGACAAATTAAATACAATATGTTTATGCTTTTACTACAGATATGAGGGGTCTTCAAAAAGTTCATGGAAATATTTTTTTTTCTATGAACTTTTTTTTTTTTTTTTTAGCAGAAAAGTCAATTTTATTCATGATCTTGCAAACTGGAAAATAAAATTTAAAATAATTCAATGAAATTTGAGAAAAAAGAGTAGAGTCATGTAACCACAACCGTAACCACAGCATAGAATATTTCCATCACCACATGAAGTTCCCCAGAACTTCTTTTCAATCAATTTTCTCCCCCAACTCCCACCCCTGTCCCTAAATTGTGTTTTCTCCAGAAATTCTTTTTAAAGAAATCATACTGAATGTTATCTCTTGGGCCTGGCTTCTTTTACTCAGCATAATATTTTTGAGATCCAT